TTATCCAATCATATTTTACGTCTTTATATAAGAAATGCAATTGGATAATTTTCTTTATGCATATACGTTTATGCGGCTATGCAAGTTTATGTGGATTTATCCTTACAGTCTTATGTTTTTCTGTGTGCTCCCAGCTTTATTGTAGAAAGCCTGTGAAACTGATAAATCGTGAAATTGCTACTGTATTATTAGTTTCTTATTCTAAAGCGAGGAACACAGTCCCTTGCAAATAACACATGAGGTATAAGAAAATGAACCAATCAAAGTACTTTATTTCCTTTTTTTTCCGTGAAATAAAGGACTCTGATTAGTTGATTTTCTTATGTCTCATGTTTTATGCGTTATGTAAGAGTCTGTGCTCTCCGCTTTAAGACTGGTTATTCTACATTTTGATCAATTTTACCTGTGAGGTAAAACCGGAAGCACATAGAAAAAAACGTAAGGCCGTAAGATGTAATTAGTAAGGATATCGTAAAATTGGATTCGCTACTGGCCTTACGTTTTTCTCTACCGTGATTGGACAATTCGCTTACTGATTACGTCTTACGGCCTTACATTTTTCTGTGTCATGGGCTTAAATCTGGCAATCCACGCATGTGATTGGGTAATCTTGCTATTTATCCAACAGGTAAAATTTATCAAAAGATGGAACAATCAGTCCTTAATCACTTAAATTTTAACAGGTACGCGATTTTCTATAAGCGCTGATCGTTTTTAATAGTATTTCGGTGCCTACATCTTTGAATTCAATGTAAAATCTATATTACCGACAGACAATTATAAATTTGTTTAAAATCTCAAAAAACAAAGTGAGTCAAGGTAGCACTTTTTCGATTCCCAGCGAATTTTCTCGCGCAAGCGAAATAAATTTATACTATATATATATAATTGTATGTACACACACGCACACACACACACACACCCCACACACACACACACACACACACGCCACACCACACACACACACCACACACACACACACACACACCTCACACACACACACCCCACACACACACACACACACACACACACACATGTATGTAATTGTTTTATCGAGAAAATGTGATTTGCAGTTTGCAATATAGGACTTTGTAATTTGTATAGTAATGTCCTTTTGATTATAACAAGTGAGAAAGTCACACGGTCAAAGGCTAATCAGAATGACTGATCAAGATACAAATAATAATATTCTTCCGTTACGGGAGAATTTGGTAAATTATCGTTGATCACATTGGGTTATGTAAATTAAAAAATTGCAACATATATCCATATTTAATTATTCTGTAAATTTCACTGTTAAATTATGCATGTATTTAATTATGTATATACTAGAAGAAGTACTCTATCCAACATGCATGTACATTATATATGAATATATTCTTATATATGAATTCACATTATTATGAAACTTGTAAAATATTAATATTTCTAAAGGTGAAAACAGCAGTGCAGTTTCTACAAAATCCTAAAGTGTTGTCGAGTCCATTGTCACAAAAGCAGGAATTTCTTAAAAGGAAAGGCCTTACGGATGAAGAGATTAAAACAGCTTTCAAACTAGCATCTGTTGACAATATAGCTGATCGCAATGCTCTTCAGAATCAGAATCCATATACTGCTGTACAAATACCATCGGAATCTATTCATCCATATCATCAAATGAATGTTTACCAACCGACATTTTTGTTGAAAATTAAAGAATTCTTTAATGCAACTGCATTAATTGGTGTCACAGTATACTGTGCATATTGGTTTTATAAGGTATTTTTTATAATGCAAAGAAATTGAAAGATTTTATTTTCTATTACGTGTGCAAAACGTTGAAAAATTTCTAGTACATTGATTTTGAATTTTCCATGATAACCAAATCTCATATAAAATAAAAATTATATATAATATATATGTATATATTATTATTCATTTATTTATATTATTGAAATATAATGCAATTTTTAATTTTGTAGAAATTTATAGAACCCTTTCTGTTTGGTCGGAAAAAGAAAAAGGTGTGCATAGAAGATAAGGTAACCGAACTAGATAAAACCGTCCAAAATTCCATGAAAGAAGTGAAAGATTCTATCTTGAAGGTAGAAGATGAAGTGCAAAAATTGACTCGGCATCAAGCATTGGATCCAACTATCCCACAATTGGTGCAAGAACTTAAACATGATCTATCTAGTCTAAAAGCATTACTTTTATCAAGGTATAATATATGCATTTTCCTTTCTTTTTATACAAAGCATATACAATAAGCAATGCACATAGATTGTTAGTAATAGCAATTTATTGCCACATAATGAGATTATTTCATTTAGACATTATTTATCATTTTATTTTTGTATGTGATATTTGCTTATATTAAAATCATTATTTTTACAAGAGATCAAACATCATCACAACCTCACACTCTCTCATACATATAGTTTTATTTAAAATTGCTTAAGAAATTGATACCTGGATGTTCTGGTAACTTTCATTTAAACGTCAGTTTATTTTACAAAATATAACTTTAAAATATAAATTTGTGCATTTTTTTCATCTTATTCCTATTTTTGACCATCTGCATTTTTTAAGTAATCTTTTATTGCAAACATCTCTCTGATTAGACTATGTATATTTATTTATCTATATCATGAATTCAATGCACAAAAAACGTTAATTGTAACTGAAAATTTTTATACATTGTCTATAATTATATTTATTATTAATTTTCAATTTTTATCTTAAAATAGAAAACAATTTCCTACTGCCCCTGCATCTATACCACCGTGGCAGTTGGGTGCAACAAATGTAAGTCAAGAAAAAGCAACTGAACGAGAAGACGATGCTGGAAGTGGTAGCAGTACTAACAATTCGGATAGTTCTTTGGAAATGATTCGAGAAGATCCACCTAAGGAATAAGTTTAGTAGTTTTGAGTTCATCAATTACTTCCATAATGATAGTCTTCGATATACGCGATATATTTGGCATAATATTGAAAGCAAAAGGATTATAATTTCAATAAATACTATATGATGTATTACAGAGATGCTTGATATTATTTTTATACGGGGTGTTTGAAAAGAAAATAATCAAGAAAAGGATCTGAATTCTATTTTTAGCATCTTGTACTTATACTAATAGCATCGATCTGTATTTTCGATAGTATTCATAACTTTGTCAATGTTTTAATATCAAACAATGTTCCATTACAAAGAACAGCTTTTGTGTCATTTATCAGAATAACATAGCAAATCAATTGAATAAATGTATTAAACCAATGTAATTACAGATCTCACAGTTTTTAATAAAATGTTTTCTTTTTCTATGAGAACTGAAACAGACTGTTAATAGGTTCTTTAAAAAAATTACTTTGATACTTTATCGTAGTACAAATATAAGACAAATGAGAAGAAAGAAAACACGGAAAAAAAGGAAACTAAAAAATTCTTGAAATGCTTTTTGAAAAAATTTTACGCGAGCAAAAGCCATACTTTGAATTTTATAATTGTGTGAATTACACATCTAGAAACGTCCTTGTAAGCTTGTAAGAATTATATATAAAGATATAAAAAAAAGATGTAGCAATTCTCTACACCGTGAAATAAATTACTTAATATATATAATATATATGTAAATGTTAATATTTAAATCTAGAATTAAAAATATCGAAGACACAGTTACAATACAAGGTATCGTGTATTTTAAGAATCTTGTAATGTTGAAATTTTATATCGAAAATGGAATTGTATTGCAAATTGGGAAATTAGTATACTTCTATATGTAATATCTGTATGCGTTACATTGCAGACAGTGTTATACATATATGTACAGATATAATTTTTGAATAAATAAATTGAAAAATTATTTTTACTTCCATTTTCCATAGAATACTGTATTGCCCATGACTTATGTCTTGAGAAAAAATGATTGTGTACAATAAAGAGAGCACACAAGTTCTACAATATATAATAGAAAAACGATAACTTTAATTAAAAAACCTTTATTGAAGGATGACTGATATCACTAAATCTTGTACACATGGGCGTATTGTTCTTTAACTTTTTAAATGTAAATTGAATAAATTGATTTTACATTTATGTATAAATGCACGTGTGTATGTGTGTTTGTGTTTGTGTGTATGTGCGCGCGCACATACATTCAACATACATATATAGATATTAGATGAAGAGTCCATGTATTGTAACTTATTTATATCGGTCATTCATACAAAAAACAATCATACTTGAGTTCCGTCAACATACAATACATCCGAGTAATATGTACAAACTGTATACGATATTATTGTTGTATCACTAACAATAAGCAAACAAAGTACACAGATGTGTGTACATAAGTGTGTATGTGTCGTGTATATAGCTTGCTATTATATATCACTTACAAGAAGAGTTAACATGTGATTTAATTTTCTCAGCTTTCATGAATATGAAATAAATAAATTATATACTCAATTATGTAAATAAAAGAAATATGTTTCTCAAATTAGAGAAAAATTTATCTACTTTTACATTTCGCATATTTAAGATAATTATAATTTGAGTACTCTGCTGAAGAGATTTTAATTTTAAAATGTAAAATAATAATCTTAAGATTATAAGTTGAGACTTTTCATCTTTCATATTCTTTTCCCATATTTTTGAATATCAATAAGTAAAGAAAATTATACACATTATCATATATATTTTGCACAATTATACACACACGCACACATATATATAATTGATATATGCAGAAAGGTATAATTATATAGTACAGTTTTTATAACAAGATTTTTTATTATAATTAAATATTTAAATATTTTATTATAAAGCAATACAAATTTACATATAATAAAACAAAAAAGTGTAAGGGATATGAGTATTGTACAAAGAACCTTTTTGTATGTATAAATAATTGATTAATCATGTTAAAATTCTTGTAAGGAAAAATATATAAATCGATTTTGCCTCAATCTTACAATCTCAAGGTTATTATTTAAAAATAAGAATTTATGATAATGACTAATGAATATTTGAACATTACATCAAGATATTTATGAACACATTTCTTTAAAACCGTATTCTTTCGTTTATCTATTTATTAATTGCAGCTGTTTTATGTGGAGAAAACCAAAATATTGATGAGTCACATATTATAACTCTTCATATAAGAGCGCACATTAACGCAATCAATCTTACAGATCATACATGTAATATTCCATATCGCAGAAGTCTTGACGAGAATAGATGTTCACTCTTTCCTGGTTTTATATTAATACTTTTTTTTATTAGATATAACCAGGACAGCTGCCTCACTGATACAGTGAGTTACAGCGAAATCCATTTGACTTAGGTACATCTCTCTCTCTCTCTCTCTCACTCTCTCACTTTATATACATCCTAGGTTAATAATATACAATAACAAAAGTACTTTATTTCATTGATTCATCTTCCATAATGTGCTGCCGAAATATATAAATAAAAGTTTTAAATATATCTAAAATAAAAAATCCTGCTGGCTAGTGCGGTTCTATCTTATTTTCATATCTTGATCTTTGGCAAAGGCTTACAGAAAAAGTAAAAAAAATTGCTTTATGATTCTGCACACATGGACTGTACAATATAAAGAATTATCCTAGGATGCTTTGTGCTTATGTAATTATACATTGGCTGAATACCATTCCCTTCGGTATTTACTCGCCGCTGTCCGTTCGAGTATAGAAAAAGAAAGACTGAAGAAGGGGAGGGCTCTCTCATTATGCGGGCAGCGACCTAGTGTTGCTATTAATTAATAACAATAATAATCCTAGGCTAGACACACTAACTGAAACTGCTAATAGTTCCAACTCTAGAATATCTAGTATATTATTTAATCTCGGCTATGCTACCAAGTATGATGTAAGTGTAAATTCCTTGAAAGAACGGATCGTACATCTTGCGTGAAACGATGAGCGTCCAAAACTGGAAGTAAGCTTAACAAAGCAGTGTCTCCCGCATCGCTGAACCATGATTTTATGGGTATCGCGTTGTCTATGACATAAGAAAGAAGATACAATAGTACATATAGTAGCACATTATTAATCTTTCTAATTCTATCCATCACGAAATTATTTTGTGCATTTCTTTTATAATATAAGACAAATCATGAAAAGATACGATTTTACGTCGCAGTCAAGAAAATGAAATGCGGAGATTTTCTATTTTCTAAATAGCATACGTATTATAGTTATTGTATCTTTCTTTAAAAACAGAATTCAAAATTATTGCTGTCACGTTTGTTCAGACAACATTAAATATAAAGTTTGTTTACTTCTAAAAAGATGGGACAGCACATTAATAACGCATACATACAAATATTATATTGTAAAAGATATTACATGCACCTTACAAATGTGTTGGATATTTTAAAGGAAATAATAATAGACTCTCTCATTTCACAAAGTCTAGACGTGAAAGGCAAAAGAAAAAGTAATCCCATTAAAATGGTATAAATATATACTTACGTGGGTAAGCTCTATAAGCTCCTGGGCTGTTATCAAGAATAAAAACTGAAGAGAGATCTGAACAGATTGCTGATAAATCCTTGGTGTAGGAACCCATTTCTGGCGTACAATGTTGTCTATAATATCTGCGTCTTAAAATACCTCTGTTATTATCTAATTTATCTGCAACTGCTGCCCCATATATTTCCATGGATGCAGTGAAAACTACTAGCTCGTACCTAATTGATATAGATAATAGGAAATAATTAATGCAAATTTTTTTGTATCGTAAAACATGAGAATAAAACCTAAGTGTTTTTAAATAGTAGCATATATATATATATATATATATATATATATATAGAGAGAGAGAGAGAGAGAGAGAGAGAGAGAAAGAGAGAGAGAATATATATATACATACTTACCACTGACTAACAATATCCAAGAAAAAATCTACGTGTGGTCTTTTATGGACAAAAAATCTAACAGGATGTCTGTCTATCGTCACTTTAAGAACAAAATCTGGAGGTGTACCAGGCCTGACAGTTGGCCTTGCTACTCCGTCGTGATGAGAGTGAATTAAGGTTTCGTCTAAATCCAGTACTAATACTTTTCTTTTAACTATACCTGAAACATTCTTGCATTAAATATAAATATCAAAAAACATTAAACGCAAGATAGTACAAAATTCATATATACATCATATAAATACTTACTAAGTCTGTGCCTAGATAAAGGTGAAAGCGGGAAGATCTCATATTTGACTGGTTGCATCTGTGAGATCTACAACAAAATGGTAAAAAAAAAAATATTATTTGTATATTATTATACATTTATAATGTATGAAAAAAAGTGATCATTACAAGAAAATTAAAACGGAGATTAATGTACTCGCGTTATATGAAATAAATAAAAATATTTTGATAATAAAAAACAATGATTGTAATTATAATAATCACAATATGGCAATTGCATGAGATGTAAATAATATAAATATAAATGTAAACAGAATAAAGATTTAGAATAGTAGATGTATTATTTATCTCGTGTTACGCAAATTAAATTAAAATACAACTGTAAATACACACACATGTAAATATCAAATGGCAGCATGAAGTAACTACTTACACCTCTAATTTGTATCTTGATCGAAAACAAACACGAGTGACATGTAAAAAGATGAATATTTCTGAAGAGAGCAACTAGAGTATAATCCATTAATTTCAAAATTATAACTTAAAAGATTTGAGACTCAGCTAAAAAAAGAAAATAAAACTGAGTTCTTTTTACAAATGAAGAATAAATTTTCATCCTATACATAGCAATGTTAAATCTACTTAAAAAAAACTGAAAAAAAATTGAGAAAAATTATTGCTGTTATAAAATAATTTTTCAGATAATTGTTACAACATCAAATAATATATATTGAATTTTATAGATGAAAAGAGACGAAGAGATTCGTGCAGAACAGCAAATTATCAGTACGTATCATCAAAGAGTTGTTACATCAACGAATGTCAATAATATCCACATATCGCGATAAAAGTAGAAGGTAAGAAAACGATTCGTCGATTAGATGAAGTTGATAAGTATACAAGTATGTAATATGACATCCATGCGTCGTGCCTAACTGCGGAGGAAGGCGCGAAGAGAGGCGCGATTCGCGAAGCACCTACTTACGGCTCTAACCTGCTTCTTGAGTAGAAAGCAGATGCAGGTCCACACACGGGAGGCCATTAAGAGGAAAGCTCTCATCCCCATCTGCAATTGCTTCAGCATCTCTACTGTTCTTCTCACCGGGCCCAAGTCCGGCAACACTTAATCTCCAGTGTCGAGTGTATCCGTTACGGGTTTGTACTCTTATTTTTCTTTCCCACCGCTGCACCGTTCACTGCAGTAAATTGACAATGAATAGATAGACGTGATGTCTGATCTGTGATCGAGATTGGAGTCGCGAGTCGCGAGGCTGTCTAGAATCGCGACGGCGACGGCGACGGCGACGGCGACGGCGACGGCGACGACGACGACGGCGACGGCGACGATCGACGACAGCCGAAAACCACAAGAGACAACTTCCTCTCTCGTTGTCGCTTTTCGTAAACAAATTCGTCAACACTTACCGCGATTGGGCCAAGATTTGACGCGAGTAAGTGAGTTTTTTTTTTTACGACGGGTCGCGTCCCGCGTGTGTTTACGCACCTTACCGTCGTTCTTTCATGTTTTTCGCAAAACCCAAGTACGAGGTACGGCACGGGTCTTCTTACGCGCATCACGCAACGGCCGCCATCTTCCGCGCATCGACCCAATTTTTCCGAGCGCACTACGCTGCTCTTAGCGCCTCGCGCCTTTTCAGTTTTCGCTGCTCCCGCGAGCGTTTTCCTTTTCGATATCGAATCCTCGAAACGTCGAAAGCAGTCGGAAGCATCGAGGCTTCTTTGCGAGAACCTTTGAAATACTATATATCAAGACGTCAACATTAGATAAATATTCTCTTTCAACATTAAATAAATATCGCTTATCTATATCACAATCGTCTATGATATAATATATGTATATATGCATGCCTTTGCACACGCACGCACGCACGCACGCACGAAAAGTAGTTGCAGCTTTCTATAATAAATGCTCTTACGAAATTAATATATGTATATGTATAAAAATCAGAAAAATTAAATGAACCATTCAAAGTTGACGAAACCTAAAAGAAATAAATGTTGAGGCGTATATTCTTCATGACACATTGCATGCATAAATTGCAAGTTAATTCTTTGGTTAAACGTTTCTGGTTTCTACCAAGACTGCGGAATACCGGAAATATCGGAAATACACACCGACTGCCTCCAGGAGATATCAATTTATTCTTACTCAACATTCGACGAATAACCAAGGATAGAATGATACTTGGAGACACTCGGTGTGCATTCCCGAACGCAGCACAAGATGGATTATTTTGCTAAAATTAGAGATTTGCGGGTACCAAGTCGAATCTGAACCGGGATAATTCTTTATTTCTTTTCGTTTAATTCGATTCGAGTTCTCGAAAGTTAGCCTATATAGTCGAAAGGAATCGAGTTACGCAACAATCGATTACTCCAATCGATTACTCGAGTCGAAACTTTAATCTGAAATTTGAAAATTCAAGGTATGTATATATATACTTACACACAGAAAGTTATTGCGAGTGTATGTTCGCTTTTAAAACAGATTTTTATTCATAACGATATGTGTGAAACATACATATACATACACACACATATATATATATATTTGCTAGAAACAAATTTATTAATTATATTTAAATTAATACACACATTTGCTTGCTAAATACAATATATGATCAATTATATATAATGATAATTATTAAGTAATATACTACAAAATGTACAAATTCTATGCTAATAAATACAATTCTTTATACAATTTCTTAAATTCGATCAATTATTTTGCTAATACATAGTAGTACTAATGTTCTTTTACATACATCATCTTTGTACTTTACAACGAAATATACAGAGGAAAATTACAAGTTGAATTACAAGGGAACAGACTAATTTTACTTTATTTTGTACAGGTTTATAATTTGGACACACACACACGCACGCACATGTGTTCATGTGTATGTACATACACAATGTTCGCGTATAGTATATGTCATAGACTTA